GGCCTGTTCTCTGTAATAAAAGATTCTCCAAGAAAGGCAGATGTTTGGTGCAGATGTTAGACACATAGTCTGAGAACTTTCAGGCCTTATGGAATTTCTATAGGTTAGGGAAGTCAAAGAAACCAGCCAATGGTAGCTGAACTGAAGTTAAAAGCCAAAATAAAACCCCCAAAACTCTGGAATCAGGGTATTGATGGGACTGGTACAAAGCAACACCTGCTGCTTATATACAGTCGTGCCCCACTTAACGATTACCCCGCATTACGACGAGTCTGCTTCACGACAATGTTTTTGCGATCGCAATTGCAATTGCAAAATGATGTTTTAAATAGGGTTTTTTCGCTTTGCGAAGATCGGTTCCCTGCTTCAGGAACCGATTCTTTGCATTATGACGATCAAAATGGTTGATCATTGGGTTTTCAAAATGGCCACCATGTGCTTAAAATGGCTCCCCGCTGTGCTTAGGGACGGATTCCTCACTATACAGGCACCGAAAATGAGCACCGTATGGAGGATCTTCCCTGGACGGTGAGTTTTTAGTCCAACGGTTTTCAATGCGTTTCAATGGGTTTTTTAATTTCGCTTTACGACGTTTCCGTTCTACAGTGATTTCGCTGGAACGAATTAACATTGCTAAGCAAGGCACCACTGTACTGCCCCACAGTGCTTAAAGCACTCAGTGGGTGGTTTACAATTCAGTTATGCAGGCTACACAATGCCCATCCATCCCAGCAGGCTGGGTACTCAATTAACCAGCCTTGGAAAGATTGGAGGGCAAGTCAATTTCAAGCTGGCTACCTAGGATTCAACCCAGTTGTGAGCCGAGTTTTGGCTGCAGTACTGCAATTTAATCATTGCACCACGAAGCTCATGTGAATTCAGAGAACTGAAAAGAGATCCTGCGGTCAAACTAGAGTTCACAGAATGAATGGCAAACAGGGAACAAAAAAAAAAATCCATCAGTGTCACAATTACTGCAACTGGTAGAAAGTTGAAAGGGTTATTGTGCCAGTCTTATTGAAAAATTCAGCAGAAAATGTCCCCCCCCCCCCATCTGGGCCAGCAGTGTGAGAGAGGCCAGGAGGCTAAAGGAAAGTATCTCATAAACAATGTAGTTGTTGGGGGGGGGGGAAATTAGATCACCAAATTTACACTTGCTTCTGCAGCTTAATTGCCTCATCTTTATTCATAGGTTTTAAAAAGCCACTCAAGCTTTCTCAGTGGAGTGTGCAACACCGTGATGAAATAGCACAGGTTTCGCTGTCTTCCAATTTCGTCCCATCAGCCGATCGGCATGAAATGAGATCGAAGCTGGAGCTGCCCCGGCTCAATGTTTGTAAATACATAACCATGCCGAAATGAAAAAATACCGCACAATCACACAGCAGAGCTGGCACCAGCTGGAGACGGCAGCTTCTGCGAGTTTAAATTAAGCCTTGGTCACACAAACGAACAAATGGCACAAACGAGCAACTCTCTTTTCAAGCACTGCTCCTACGCTGGGGGTGTGAACCTTGCGGTTTGTCAGCCGCATGCAGCTTGCAAAGCCCCCCCCCGCAGACCCCTCAGGGACTCTCCCCCTGAAAAAAAACCTCTCCCCTCCCTGGAGAATAATGCCACCAGAAATCTACAAGGGCCACAATTCTCATGTTACTCCTCCAAAATCATTTTGGTCTTTCAAAACAGGCAGTGGCCTTGCAGTTCTTTCCAGTTTGGTGGTAGGGAGAGAGTGGAGGCCTGGGGTGTGTGGATGGGAAATGGGGTCTGTTGGCTCACAAACCCTCCACAGTTGCCTGCCTCTGTGCTAAGACATGGGAAGTGTTAAGTCAAACTGGTGCCTAGAGATGGGCGCGAAGCACTGTTTCGTCCTTTGGATGAACAGGTGTTCAGCAGTTCTCTGCCCTGCCTCCTCAAGCAGTCACCCACTTAGAGGCAGTGTCCTAGCTTCCCTGCCCTGCCTAATTCAGGCACTGCCTCTGATTGGGTGCCTGCTGGAGGAGGCGAGGCTGGGAATCACTGTACCTTTGTTTGTCCAAAGGATGAATTGACACGAACCTCTGAACCAGCTGTAATTGTCTGTCTTCAGTTATGATGAGAAAATTGTTTTCCTGTCTTTCAAGACTGGTATTTCCTGTCTTTCAAGACTGGTATCTTTTTTCCCCAAGCTCTGTTGTATGTGTTGAGCTGAAATGGATGAGAAGAGAGTGAGATTCAGCTTCTTCTTTTTTTTTTAAAGTAAATAATAGGAAATTATTTTAGTTACTTCTGACAAACAGGGGAGTAAACGGGCACAGTTATCAGCTACTTTTATGAAGTAAATATCTTGTGTAGCTTTTGAAACAGTAATTGCAACCAATTACTTAAAAAAAAAATCTTCCAAGTTCTGGTCTAGGCCGGACAGGCCCTAAACCACCTCTTCCAATTTAAAAGAATTCATAGGATTCAATTAGATTTTCTTTCTTTAATCACAGCTGAAGAGATATTATCAGTCAGATTTAGGTCAGATGCTAACAGCAGCTTGACTATTTTTAGATAATGCTTTATTCAAAGGCAGAGTTTAATTATCCATGAATTATGATGGAAACCTCATGGGAGCAGATGTGGTAAGCATGTCATGGAACCCACAGCATTGCGACGGATACTACCGGTATTTAAGTGGATGTGGAATTCAGCTTGACTTTCTGATGCATTATTACTCCAAATCATCTCTTCACTAAGCACCGCATATAAATGGAAACCCTAACAAACACCTTCTCATCCTGTTGCCAGGATATTGAGCTTAAATGTACATTGTGTAGGTGACAGAAAAGAAAAGGAGAGGGAGCAGCAGGGCGGTGAGGTTGGAATGACTTCTTGGATATATCTGCATTGTTCGTGAAGTGGTTCACTCGTTTTTTTATTCTTTTACCCCAATTTCCCATTAAGTCTGAAACCATGTCTGTTGCTGTTGCAGACTCCTCCCCATAGGAAGCCAGTCTGGCCCCATCTCTGCTGTCCTTCCAGCAGGCAAAGCCCTTTCTCTTCATGCAGGCTTTCCCTCAGTCAGGCAAAGCCCTTTCTCTTCACGCAGGCTTTCCCTCCTGAAGAGAAAAGGTTGGTTGTTTTGTGCTCTGTTCTTATTAAATATAGACTCATATGTTTTTAGTGTTGATTTCAGTCACCATTTTTAATATAATACCTGTTTAATTCCTTTTTAAAATAGTTGTATACTTGCTGTTTTTAGCTTTTAAATGTTGCCTTTTAATTGTTGTAAGCCACCTTGGGTCCTTTTAAGGAGAAAGGAGGGGTAAAACAGTATGTATCCTGTTTAATTCCTTTTTAAAATACTGTAGCTGTATACTTGCTGTTTTTAGCTCTTAAATGTTGCCTTTTAATTGTTGTAAGCCACCTTGGGTCCTTTTAAGGAGAAAGGAGGGGTAAAACAGTATGTATGTATGTATGTATGTATGTATGTATGTATGTATGTATGTATGTATGTATGAATGAATGAATGAATGAATGAATGAATGAATGAATGAATGAATAAGAATGTATGTATGTATGTATGTATGTATGAATGAATGAATGAATGAATGAATGAATGAATGAATGAATGAATGAATGAATGAATGAATGAATAAGATAGAAGTGCAAAAAGTGTAATTTTTGAATTACAAATCCCATATTTCCCCAACCAGCATGCTTGCTTTGTTGGTGAGGAAGGAAGCTGCAAGATGTAGACCAAAAAAGGAGGAAGTTCTCTAGCGTCTGATTCCGTTTCATCCAATACACATGAAATGTGCCTAGACTGAAGAAAGGAGATCCAAAGCACAAAAAAGTAAAAAAAAAATGTGGGAAAGCATGGTGGATTTGCTTATTGAATCAGCCATTGGTCTGACTAGTTGGGTACCCTGCTAACCCCAGCCATGGTGACACAGCATTGGGTGAACCATAAGAAAGCACCTTACAACACATATGCCGCCTCCCACCCCAGTACCTGGGAAGCAGAAACGGAACCATCTTCCTGAAAGGAAGAGGTCATGCAAAAGAAAAGTGATGGCATATACTAGTCGTCGATATCTTCAGAGAAAATTACGATCCTAGGACAAGCAGGCGTCTCCTTCCAGATTAGTGAAACAAAGGTTGTTAGTCAGCAAAGCAAATGACAAGAAATGTATGTTAAGAATCAGGAATTGTTGGTAAACATAAGTAAACAATTCAATAAAAGATAAAGGAACCACATGAATTGGGGAAAAATTAGCTTAAAAACAGATGTCCCAGAAAATGTGGTATTTAACACGGAACTGATACGTTACTACATCTCCGACACCTGAAAGAAAGTGTACCAGGGATGAGGACTCAAGTCATGGGACTTGGGGTCAAATGGACTTAAGTCTCACTGGGGACTCAACTAGGGTTCCCCCCCCCCAATGACTTGAACTTGATTCATGATTCAGAACCCACCCTCCCTTTTTTCTGGGGAGGGGGACTTGTTTTTAATAGGGACTTGGGCTTGGGACTTGGTACCAAAGACAGGCTCAGACTTGGGACTGTCATTTGCCAGCATCCTTGCACTGTACACTCTTCACTGTCTGACATTTTGTTTACCCCTTTCACCTCTTCTGTTCTTTCCTGTAATTTGCTAAAGCCTGCCCAAGCCTCCAAACATCCCCTCCTGACGTCTCTCTTTCTCTTTCCATTTCTCCTTTAGGCTGCAGACCTCTCCAAACCTAGCATTAAGGTTTTGCCTCTTTTCCTAATCATTTCAGTCTTTCCCCAGACTTCCATTTTTCCAGACCTCATTCAGTCCCAATAGAATTCCTCATATAAGTTCCTCCATTAAAAAAACCCCATGTTTTTGGTGCTTGATTTTTGGAAACAAGGGCACAACCTGAAGCAATTTTAAAGGAAAATATCTGACTTCTGGGCAAGAAATGAACTGTATGGTTAGCAGAACAAGATAAAATAAAATAAAATAAATGAAAATATCCTTTTGTTGAAAAAGAACATAAATTACTTACAAGTATCTGAGACTGGGAAGATTCTGGAAGGCATTTCTGTCAATATACACAAGATTGTTTGCTTTCTCAATTCTTCTGTGGAAGAAAAGGGGACAAATACATGTTGGAATTAGAATCTGAGTGTTTTTCTAACAGTATAAGATTCTGTAAGCAATGTTGCATAGTATCCTTTAGCTGCCTAGAGTGGTCACAAGACATAGGTGGGATATAAATAGAATAAATAAATAAATAAATCCTTTCTATCTCTCTTTTTGGACAACAAGCCATTGAACAAGTGGTTGGGCAGTTTCCAGGCTTACTCAGGAGGGTATTATTGGATGTCTCTTTGCCAATGTCAGCTAGTCACGCTAGTGGACTGGGATGGAGGGTGGCTTCCCTCAGATTTTGTGGGCGAAGGCACCCCTGCCCCAGTCACAAACTGTTCTTCTACATCACAATACACATCATGTCACAGTTTGGCCCAGGTCTGTCATATAACGCCCCTACCCTTCTATCCTGTTTCTTTACTCACATTTCGTAGAGTTCAGGAAGATTGGAGAATGCATCTGATTCTATTGTTTCCAAGGCGTCGTTCTGGGAGATTTCTCTGTCAAGAAAATGGAAACATAAGCCTTAATACAGTATGTGGCCTTCTTATTTACTGAAAGGACCTAAAGTGTAAACAGACATGAAAAACAAAAGGAACGAGTTAAACATTTGCCAGTTTCAAAAGCATTCAGAAATCTCAGACCAGAGCCTATTAAAATGAAATACTGCCTGGGATCCTATTACTTACACATATATTAGCAGGAGTCTAATGGTGTAAATCACAGTCATGAGGTGCCTTTAGTTAAGAAGTTGATACATTGCTTTTAAATTGTTTTAAATAAAGAATATTAAGAATATATTAAAAATACACAATAAAAAAACCTTAATATATGCAACTTAATATAATGTCTCTACACATGGAGGCGACTCTACACATGGAAATCACCAGATGGGCAATACCGAAATCAGATTGATTATATCCCCTGCAGCCAAAGATGGAAAAGCTCTATACAGTCAGCAAAAACAAGGCCTGGAGCTGATTGTGGCTCTGATCATCAGCTTCTCATAGCAAAATTCAAGCTTAAACTGAAGAGAGTAGGAAAAACCACTGGGCTAGTCAGGTATAATCTAAACCACATCCCTTATGAATACACAGTGGAAGTGAAGAACAGATTTAAGGAACTAGATTTGGTGGACAGAGTGCATGAAGAACTTTGGATAGAGACTCGTAACATTGTAAAGGAGGCAGAAACAAAAACCATAACAAACAAAAGGAAATGCAAGAAAGCAAAGTGGCTGTCCAACGAGGCCTTAGAAATAGCAGAGAGGAGAACGGAAACAAAATGCAAGGGATATAGGGAAAGTTACAGAAAATTGAATGCAGACTTCCAGAGAATAGCAAGGAGAGACAAGAGGACCTTCTTAAATGAACAATGTAAAGAAGTAGAGGAAAATAATAGAAAAGGAAAAACCAGAGACCTGTTCAGGAAAATTGGAGATATTAGAGGAACATTTTGTGCAAAGATGGACATGATAAAGGACAAAAATGGGAGGGACCTAACAGAAGCAGAAGACGTCAAGAAGA